AGATGCTAAAGAGAAACTGTTTACGTAACAATTTTTATAATCTGCAGGAGGATAACTTATATCCAAGAGTATTTAACTGGCTAATGAGTTCACTGAACCATTGATTTTATTTTTTCTTTATAACAAATCATGGCACACTGAGGAACTTAAGATAACGGGGGGTGGGGGTGGAATCCAATGTCTTGCTAATATTCACATGTGTTCAGATGGATATCTAAGAAACTACAGAGCAGTTAGTTCAATGTACACCCCTAGCAATCTCAGACAAGCAGCCAAAGGATGTACTGGGTAAATTAGTAAAAACTAGAACCCAGATTGAAGTCATTCAAATTAATGTCATTTGAAAGAGGTACTTTCAAGTAATTTTATGTCATTTTTTGTAAGCCTACAAGTTTGATAGAGCTAAAAAGATAGATATGGCATGCTTAGACTCCTGTAAGTCATTTAACTTAGTTCTGCATGACATTCTAATACAAAAAGTTAGCTGTATGCTAGAGTCAGTGTGCTCAGTATTAACAAATTTGAAAGAATTGGGTAACCGAGAAGACATTCTATATAGCCATGACAGATTTCTAGTTGTATTTTATTCACATATTAATGCCATATGTTACTAGCAATCAGAAAATTTAAAAAAAAAAAATGTTGGTGAAATTATTGGGGTGGATAAAAATGAATTGTTGGGATGGTAAAAGTAACAGGTGGCATTTGTGCAAGACTACCTAATCTGGATTGCTTGAAACAGCAGGTTCATGAAAAACATGGTTTGTTACATCTAAGAATGAGGTGCAACATATAGGAAAGAGGAATGTGGGTGTCGTTTTAAAACAAGGATGGCATCCTGGATAGTAATGAGTTTGAAAACCTCAGCGGTTGCGGCATATGCTATCTGAAGATGGGAGGGCATCGCTGCCCAGACCATCCTCTTCCTGAACTGTGTAAATAATGTTAAATATGAATCTAAGATTCCTGAGGCATTGTTGTAGATCGCACATCCACCTGGCTAAGAATAACTTTTACACAGTCATAGGGCAACCACATTTTGAATGTTGTGCACAGCTGTACTTCCTTCATCTCAGAGTGATGCACTAGGATCAGTAAAGGGACAGGGAAAGCCTGTGCTTGTGGTTAAGGGTTGTGTGACAGCTTCCACGCAGGGAGTGACTGAGTGGAATAGAATTTCAGCCTGAGTAAGGAGAGAAATGACAGGGATCTATATGGTTTTTAATAATATGAAGAAGAGGAACAGACTATAGTTGCCCGCATATTCTTAGAATACAAGAGTTAAAGGGCATCAAATGAAACAAGAAGGTAACAGCATAAAGACATATAAAAAGAGGCGATCAACACAATGTGCAATTAAGTTATCCTTGCCACAAGGATATCAGAATGCTCAAAACATACATGGGTGCAAAAAGCGACTGGTCAAATTTATGGGAAAAAAAATTAAAAATCTCTACAACTGCTAAATACATAGATGCCCTTTTGACTCAAAAGTACCTGAAATGCAATTTATAGAGGTCAGGGGTGGGGATGGACATCCTAGAGAAGGGTTTTTCTATACTTGCTTTGTCCTTGTACTCATCTGTAGGTACCATAGTGGTTTACTAGTCCACCCATTATGGCATGTCATGCTCTTCTCTGTGGAACAGGAAAGATCAAGTAAGAGTCAGGCAGATATTTGAGTCTGGGAAGTCTACAGGGAGGTACTGATGCAGCTAATCTTTCAGATAAAGGAAGGGAGTACTAGGAACAGGCACAAGGAGGGTCAGAGTAAGACTCAGTGGCTGCAGCTAGGATGGAAACTTCTGTCTAGAAATTTTTTTTTTTTTTTTTTTTTTTTTTTTTTTTCCCCCTGAGCACATCGCTTGGACAGCCACACTGAGAATGTGGCAGTGGACTCACATTACTTCGGCCAGTCATAAGCGTGCCTCTTGCTGACTGCTCTGCCAAAAAACCCAGGTGGATTTTTGCTTTTTTTGCTTTTGCTGAAGCAGGAACAACAGCATGTGACCAAGAGACGTTCCCAGCGAACCTGGGACACAGTAGCAACCAGCAGCTGCCTGTGCCAGTTGATAAAAACACATCAGAACCGCATGCCCCTGTGCTAATAATGTCCCGGGCTTGCTGTCCTCGGTTGAGACTGTAGCCCTCACACTCAGGACAGCTAAATTTCCCTGGCATAACTCCTGTCCCAGCCAGTACATTCAATGCTACATTAGAAATTCCCCCTTTAGAAATCTGAGAAAAAAGTAGCACAGCTATTTATATTGCCAAAATGCACACTGGAACATCGAATCTTTTAAATTCTGTTCTTGTGTTTCTTAAAAATCAGTTGCTAATCAATTAGCATAACTGAGTTAAACTCAGAGCATTTGTTCTCACCCTGCACTTAGCTTGAACTTTTCTGATTGTTTCAGTTCTGAAAAAGGGCTTGAGCGCCCAAAGCTTTTTCTGGTAAGTTTTTTGGTTTGGGTTGGGTTTTTTGACCAGTTAAATCAGTCAATCTGTAAAAGATACCTCCCTTCTACTAGCCTCACATTCCTTGGAAATGGTTAGTCAGTGGTATCCTTACACACAATGAAATCATGCCCTTTTCATTTCAGCGGGAACACAGACGAAATCTAGTCCATAAAGATTTGTGCCCGGGGATGGCGTGTCCCTCTCTGCCACCTGCCTGACCTCAGCCCTCCCACTCGAGCTGGGATCCCCTGCCTGCAAACCTGGTAGCTCCAAAAGGAACCCTGGAAGTTCACCTGCAGTCCCAGTGTGGCTCCTGCAGGTGCCAAGGAGCCTTTGTCCAAAGAGGAGCTGGCAGTGCCAGGAGCTGGCCTGCCCGTGGGCGCAGCGGCACTGCGTGCTCCTGTGTTTGCAGAAACAAAACATGGTAGGGTCACCTCTTTCAACCTGAGCTGCCCTCATCACCCAAAGGCAGACTTCAGAGCTAGCAAAAGTAACCAGCAAGACCCAAGGTGTGGCTTTAAGTCTAACAGCTGCAAGAAACAATTTCAAAATAAAGCCAATTTTTAAATTTGATCCTTCCTTATCCTTAAGGTGATATTATCTATTGACTGAGTACATATTACTGAACATACATTATTGCAAGTATATGGACAGTGCTAGAAAGAAGGAGGACTGGTAAACCAGCCCCCTGTGTACCGCCCTGCAGACTGCCTTCATACCAGAGATACCTATTCAGGCTACAGCAATCCCAGACTGCTGTCACCAAAAGGGACAGACCCTCCTTTTTCTGCTCCTCCTCCAGACGCAGACATGATCTGGCTAAAGATGAACAGTCTAAAGTAGCGATTAGACTTTGGGAATAAAATTGTGGGACCTGATCCCATAAACAGGTCACCCTGCACAGACAGGCGAGCTCAGCCAGCAGGAGGGTGGTGACTTCAGGCTGGATTCCTGCACTGGTTTGAGGGAAATGCACTAGTGAGCCATGGTAAGTGTGGGCCATTATTTATTTATTTTAAAAGCTTTGACACCTCTGCTCCCTTCATCCCTGTTTTGCATATAGTTTTGGTACATCACCTCGAGCCAACCCCTCACCTTTCTGGCCATGGATGTCATAAAGCACATTGTTAAACCTTCTTGAGATATATCATCTCTGTGCTGCCATAGTCATCTCTTCACACACACACCGGCTGCCACAACTGGTTTCCTGACATCTTTTGTAAGCCTGTAATGTGTAAACACATTCCCATTGTATCTTATTAGCATTCATGCTGTGGTGCATCACTGGTGTGAGTGCATTTGGAACAGCACGCTGACCCTCACATAGTTATTTCAAGCTTGCTACCTCAGAGCAGCACGGTCTAGTTGTGTGAGGCAGTGATAATCAGGGGAGCAGAGCTACACCCTGTGTCCCAGAAGAGGAAGAAAAAGACAGAAGCATTGGATCCATCAAACCACTTAGCCTTCAGATCTGTGCGTTCCAGCGCCCTGGTGCTGATGTGGACTTTAACAGAGGCCTTAGAAAACCAAGGCACCAAGAGGAGCAACCTGCAGTGCTGCCCCAAAGTTCTTTCTGCCAGCCAGCTGCCACTCAGGCATTCCTCGAGTCAGAAGCAGGAATGGAATCTGCTACAGCAACTCTTTAAAGGATGGTTAGTGCTTTGATTTCTTTATAACCGCAGAAACAAGTGTTACCCCCTACCTTGTCTAGAGTGCAGCACAGCCCATCAGCGGCATGCGGACCTGCACTGTGTTCTGGTAGATGCTGCCTGGGTTGTGGCAGGGGCTGTCTGCTCTGTGCCCAGCGGGCTGGCATCCTCAGGACATGCTTCCTCCTCGCCCCACACCAAAATCATCAGTGCTGGCACAAGCACTGCTGTCCCACCCTGCTGCAACACCAGACATGGTACTTATGTGGGAAGTGTTTGTTGTGCCTCAGCACCACACATTTCCCTCTGTCTTCTGAGAAGCAGGTGGGTGCTTAGGTCTGAGGGTGCACACGCCACTGTGGATGGCAAGTCGCATGGATGAGCTCTGTCAGGATAGCAAGGCAAAAGTTGTACTCTAGTAGGTATAGAGAAAGACTAGGGTTTATTCCAAACACCTTTGGGTACAAACTGTAAACAACTTGACTAAAGACAGGATCCCAACAAATGTCCAGGACACCAGAGCTGCCTGGTTCAGGTTGGAGCTTGTAGATTTGGGATAGGGAGACTGATACCCTACCACTAAAGCTGTGATCTATGCAGGTATATTTGCTCTTTGATCCACAGAATGCCCTAATCCCCACATCTTCCTTTTGTTACTGAGTCTGGAGTTTGTCCTCATTAGTATGGGTAAACAGAATGTTCCAAAGTAGGTGCATGAAGGAGAACACAAGGCTGTTGGGACGGGGACATAGCACCAGGTTTGAAATGGGGGGCTGATGGGGCCTGGCAGGAAGTGTGCGAGGGGAAGGGGTTAGCTGGGAAGGCACAGACTGCACTGGCAGGGATGGAACATCTGCACAGAAAGGCACAGCAGGACTGAAGCCACAACTCTCAATAGAGAACATCCTCGAAGCTGAGCAGCAGGAAACGGTGCAAGGCCCTTGGCAGGTGCAGCTGAGACAGGACCAGAAGCAACCGGCCCTCCAGGAAGGTCCTGAGTGCGCAGCGAGCCAGGTGCTGCAAGGAGCGAGGTCTTTGCTCCAGGGAGAAAAGTGATTGGTAGAAACGTGGGTATTTCTACAGAAAGAGGAGAAAGGACCAGAGGCAGACAAAACTGAAGATATCACCCTGGGAGCAGAGGTAGAACCAGACATCCCTTTACCTTAGTCATTATGGTGCATCCTCCCTGTCCCTCAACACCCCTGTGCCCTGTACATCACCACCCAGCCCCAGCCCGGCTGTGCCCCAGTGTCCCCCCCAGCTTCCTCTGGCACCTTGTTGCAATCGCCCCGCTGCACAACCTCACCTGTACAACCTCTGCTGGAACAGCTTCCACCCAGTCCTCGGAGACGCGCACGTGGTCGTAGCTGTTCATCAGGGCCTCGATGACCCGCGGGCAGGTATGGCAGTACCGCAGCACCTGCACCAGGGAGACAGCAGATCAACACCAAGGTCCAGCAAACCCCACCTTCACCTCCTAAAAAAGCTGTCCCAAAACAGCCTTGGTAAGTCTAGGGAACTAGTGTCCTTCCTGCAAGCTGTCCCAGGAGATCAAACCCACCAATGGTGGGAAGTGCCGGAGCACCACTCCTGCAAGGAGGGTGACTGAGCCAACACCCAACACGCACAGCACAGCACAACTGGGTCCCCACAGCCTCTCCTCAGATGCAGGGACTAACGTACATGGCTGGGATGCAGATCTCCTTCATCTGCCTCACTGCTGCAAGTCACTTGTAAGCAGCCAACACTCTGCTTTATGCATTTTCCTAGTTAGAGTATAAGCCATTCTGGACAAGGGCTGACACCCATCTCATCTGCAGCAAGACTAAGACATACCATGCCTCTGTTGAGGGCTACGGGGGTGTCTTGGAGATGTATTATGCCTGCTCAGCTAGGGGCTAAAGAGACATCATAGAATCATCTCAGTTGGAAAAGACCTTGAAGATCATCCAGTCCAACCATTAACCTCACACTGACCGTTCTCAACTCCACCAGATCCCTCAGCGCTGGGTCAACCTGACTCTTAAACCCCTCCAGGGATGGGGACTCCACCCCTGCCCTGGGCAGCCCATTCCAACCCCCAACAACCCCTGCTGCAAAGAAATACTTCCTAATAGCCAGTCTAACCCTGCCCTGGTGCAGTTTGAGGCCATTCCCTCTTGTCCTGTTGCTTGTTCCTTGGTTCGAGAGACTCACCCCCCTCTCTGCACCCTCCTTTCAGGGAGCTGTAGAGGGCGATGAGGTCTCCCCTCAGCCTCCTCTTCTCCAGACTAAACCCCCCAGTTCCCTCAGCCGCTCCCCTCCAGACCTGTGCTCCAGACCCTGCACCAGCTCCGTTCCCTTCTCTGGACATGCTCGAGTCATTCAATGTCCTTTTTGTAGTGAGGGGCCCAAAACTGAACCCAGTCATCGAGGGGCGGCCTCACCAGTGCCGAGTACAGGGGTCAGATCCCTTCCCTGTCCCTGCTGGCCACGCTATTGCTGACACAAGCCAGGATGCCATTGGCCTTCTTGGCCTCCTGGGCACACTGCTGGCTCCTGTTCAGCCGGCTGTCAATCAACACCCCCAGGTCCCCCTCTGACTGGCAGCTCTCCAGCCACTCCTCCCCAAGCCTGTAGCGCTGCTGGGGGTTGTTGTGGCCCAAGGGCAGCCCCCGGCATTTGGCCTTATTGAAACTCCTCCAGTTGGCCTCAGCCCATGGCTCCAGCCTGTCCAGGTCTCTCTGCAGAGCCTCCCTGCCCTCGAGCAGATCAACACTCCCACCCAACTGGGTGTCATCTGCAAACTGACTGAGGGTGCACTCGATCCCCTCGTCTAGATCATCAATAAAGATGTTAAACATCCTGTACCTGTGCTGTGTGCAGTGGGTTTCCTAAGAGGTACAGTGCCTGTGTTAGCTGCTACATGGAGCCCCAGGAAGACATCACACCTATGTTATGCCACACCTCTCCGGTGTGTACCCTGCCCGCGTAGGTACAAGCCACATGCCAGTGCTGTGTATCTCACACCACCAGTGTGGCCTTCTGAGCACACCCCACCCCTGCATAGCTGCACAGAGGCAGATCCCCCCCAGGCTCTTGGCTCCCACTCCCAATGGCCCAGGCCAGCAGTAGCTGTCAGAGTCTATTCCGGCTCTAGGAGTGATCCTCATTATCTGGCGTTAATAGGAGATTAATTAGTGTTAATTGTTGATTTTCCTGTATTTTCCCAAAGGGGAGAGCAATCTGCTGATCTCCGGGCTGGGTAATTATTGCACTGCTCAGGAATTAAGACAGGAAATTAACCCTTTGTTTGCTGCTGTCTTGCAGAGACAGCATGAGCTGTAGAGTACACCCCAGAGAGGAAACCTATCCCTTGAGAGGAAAAGGGCCAACACTTTCCAGGGCAAGTGATGATGGAAACTGGGTAAGTACTGTCCATGCAGCTTAGCAGACAGAAGCAAGAGCGTCCTAGAGGAGAACATACCCCAGGAGAAAACTTCAGGGAATCCCTTACCAGTAATGCCCATTACCCCCCTCCTAGACCCTGGAAAGAGAGTGGCAGGACGGCAAGCAGGCTAGCACAGAACAAGCCATGCCGTGACACAGACATCCTTGCTCTCATTGGGACCCTGGTGTTCACAGCCTTTCCTCCCCACCGTGCTCCTGGCACAGCTGCGAGCCCCGCACCTTGAGGAGGGAGCCAGGCCAGATGCGGATGGCACCATAGTTGAGCAGGGCTTGCACCACAAGCTCTGGGTGATGCTCAAGCTTGTAGGCAGTGGCTTGCAGGATATTGTGCAGTGCTGTGTTGCCGCTGTAGTTCATGATGTTGACGTTTGCACCCCGGGCCAGCAGTAACTCTACTACTTGAGCATTAGCATTCTTGCAGGCCAGATGAAGCGGGTGCTGCCGGTCCTTATCTGCAGCGTGGATGTCAGCACCGCTCTCCACCAGCAGCTGGCAGACCTGGTAGTAGCGGTCCATGTCCTGGGGTTGGTGGGGCTGCGCGCAGGCAGCATTCAGTGGCGTCTGGCCCTCCTCATTCATTGCCTCCAGCTCTGCCCCATAGCGCAGCAGCAGCTGCACGTGGTCTGTTAGGCCATGCCGTGCCACTACATGCAGCACTGTGTCGTCTTCCTCCTCTGTCCGACTGTTCACACTGGCGCCATGCTGCAGCAGCTGCTGGACACACCTGTGTGGGCCAAGACGACTCAGTGACAGGCTCTCCTCTCCAGCTCCTATCCTACTCCGACCCCTGTTACCCCACACCTCTGTACCATCCTACAGCTTTCACTTTTCCCAGGAGCCCAAGAATCCCTGCTCTTCATGCCCTGGAGCTTTAAGCAAGGATGACTGGTGTGCAGAGATAGCGTCATCCTAATTCTGGCTAACTCGCCACAGATCTTAAAGTGCCATCACGGAGACTGTTCCCACCCAACCATGGAGGCCCATCTGCGCAGCGCATGCACAGTGTGAACCATCAGCTCTGCACTGCTGGCGGGTAACAAGACTGCTGCACCACTCTCAGCTGCATCAGCTGAGGACTAGAGTTTGCAGTCATCTGTTGGACTTCTGAGGTGATCCATGTCCAGGAACAGGCAGTAAGGTCACCCCAACTCAGCAGCCATCGCTGCAACCACCAGCCCAGCTGCAGGGATGAATGAGTAGGGACCCCTTCCACACAGGATGGGGTTTAAGGGGGAGGGAGACCCACTGTAACCCCCCTGCAGAACTCACTCGATAGAGTCTGGGCTCTTGCAGAGATGCAGGGGCTTGTAGCCATCCTCAGAGACAGCCTCGGGGTCAGCACCAAAGCTGAGCAGCAGGCGCACGCAGTCTGTGCTGGCTGCTGCACAAGCCTCATGCAGGGCAGTCTTACCCCCCGGTGCGAAGTTGACGGCAGCACCCCTGAGCAGCAGGAACCGCAGGCAGTCTGTGTAGCCCCGGCTGGCTGTGATGTGCAGTGGTGTGGTGAGCTCCTGCTCATAGCTCAGAGACCACAGTCCTGCAGGGAAAGAGAGGTCAGGGAGTCATGTCCAGCCACAGCTCACAAAAAGCCCTGGGCCCAGACCTGCCTTTTTCCCCAGGATACCTGATGTAAATCCCCCCTTCAGAAGCTCGGGTTTCCCCCTCAAGGGACTGCTTGTCCTGCCAGGCCCTTTGCCTTCTACCGGCCTGCCAAAGGCAAAAATCTGGGGATGACTCTTAAGGCTGCACAGCCACACTGACAGGGAGCTCAAAGGAGCAGGAGTGGCAGAGATGGTTCTCAGAAAGTTCCAGGTTGACATAGCTCTGAGGGACCTAGCGGAGTTGAGAACGGTCATTGTGAGATTAATGGTTGGACGGGATGATCTTCAAGGTCTTTTCCAACCTAGATCATTCTGTGATTCTAAGAGTGCTTTTCACCAGCAGCTCAGGTTTTCTGTTCACAGGGGTACAGCAGATGAAGGGCCTGGGGCACAGGCAGGGCTGAAAGCAGCAAGGTAGCTGGGAAGAGCACCACACATGAAGTACCACAAATACAAGGAGCAGGCAGTAAAACAGGTGGACAGGAGCTTCAGACAGGCCCTGAGCATGGTGCAGACAAGCAAGCTTCAGCACAGATGGACATCTATGGCCTAGGAGAGAGCAAGGGGCTGAAACCTGCCAACTCTCAAAGATGCTGACCCAGCTGGAACCCTTGCTGAGCTGGTGAGGTCCGCAGCTGTTACAGGAAAAGGGCTCCTTAAATCATGCTTCTTGCTGCCCATCCAGGCTGGGCTGGAGGACCCTGTCCCAGATTGTGGGACATGTTGAACGCTACATCCCTCTCATCTCTTCCTTGCAGAAGCAGCGTGTGGTCAACCGTGTTTCACAGGGCCGGGTTCAAACTGAACTATCTCAAGGATCTAACACAGGGCTGTGATAATTCCTGGCCAAGCACAGCCCACAGAGACAACCAGCAGCCTAGCACAAGCTGCACACAGACAGAACAGGCACACAGAGCCAGGCTACAGGGCCAGTCACAGGAGCACAACATGGAGCCTGAATCTCCTTTCCCTGGCAGGGAACTGAAGCAGTTTCCAAGCACTTGCACAACCCCTGCTAGAAGGGTCAGGTACCCTGCACATACTTCACCCTCCCAGACATGTGCACACTCTCCCAACCACATCCCAGTGCTCTCACTCCCATCCTCATGCCTCCATAACCCAAAGAGCACCCATGACATACAATCCCGGCACTAGCAATGCCCTGCAGTGTAAGTAAAAGGCTCTGAGCCCCTGTTCAGCTGGGCCACGCTGCCTTCCCGCTGCCCTCCTGCATACTCAGCCAGCGGAGGTTGAAGCGGTAGTTCTTCCACTCTTCCAGGTCACTGGTGTCGAACACAGCATTGGGACTCAGGTTGTTCCGAGGGTCGCTGAGGATCTCAGCCACAATCTCCCGATCCCCAGTCAGCAGAGCCTGCCAGTAGGCCTGGGCAGGGCCATCCACCTTCTGCGTGCAGATGGGCTCCTGACTCTTGTCTCCTCTGCCTGTGATGCTACCCATGGCGCAGCACCCAGACTCTCCGCAGAAACCAGGGCAGGACTTGCTGCTGCCTCCCTGGCCAGGCTCTGTGCCTGGGGATACAGCCCCACCAGTGCCCTGTGCTCTGGCTGACAGGCTGCCTGCCTGCCCTGGGGCACTGCGCAGGGAGGGAGGACATGTCACATCCCTGTTTGGCCCAGGCTGGGTACAGCTCAGGTCTCAGTTCTATTCTGGGAAACCTTGTGACCAAACGTTTCGTCCAAGAGGCTGATAAGGACACTCCTCTAGGGCAGCTGTATCTCTGCAGTCCCTGGCTGTGGAGAGAAAGCCCCTAGGCTGGGCAGGGTAGCACAGTAGCCCAAAGGGTAGAAATGGAGACAGGACATCACTAAGAAAACAGAGAGGGAAGTAGTCTCATGCCCAACTAGTCTGCTGTCACCCAGTTGCTGCCCAGACCACAACTCAGCTGCTTCCATACACCAGCATGCTGCACATCTTTGTCTGGCCCTCAGCTCCTCTGACATCCCCAGCACTGCACACCCATTTGCTAGTTCCACCCGAGCCCTTAGCACTAGACAGGTTTTTAAACAAGCCACAGGAAAGTTCTTTTTAATCACAGGTTAAAACCAAATGACAGGTAGAATAGGTACAAGTATGGGAAACAGTGCATTACAAGTGAGGTAAAAACATCAAAAGTAATTATCCTTTAGACCCCTTTCTACATTTCCTTGAAATTGTCCCCAACACTGGACACTTTTAAGATTTAGTTGGACAGGGTGCTGGGCCATCTCATCTAGTCCATGCTTTTTCCAAGAAAGGTTGGACCAAATGATCCTTGAGGTCCCTTCTAACCTGGTATTCTATTCTATGAAATTCAGCTTTGCAGAGAGCTCCTGCATGGTTTTAGTACTCCCTTTCCCATCCTCCGACTTAGGAGGAATGAACTACTCAGGGTTCCTCACTGCTGTCCTTTCACCCAAGGTGGCATTTTCCGCTGTCCCCACTTAGTTGTATAAACCCACCCTGCTCCTACTTTGGTTACAGAACAGCATGCATTGCTCACAGTTTGTCAGCACTGTCTGCATTTTGTTCAGACCATATGTTCTAAAGAATGTATCAAACTGCATGGAAGACTAGCAGCATTTAGTTTAACTCTGTGTCATGGAATTATTCAGATCATGCATCTAAAAGCAAGTTAAGTGACCCCAATAGACCACCAAGCAACAATTACCTGGGAGACCAGAGAAAAGTGTAAGATAGGGAACTTTACCCTTCTCAGTAATGAAAATAAATGACCAAGTGCTATACTGACAGTCTCCAGCATGCTCTGTGCAGACTTCACCACCTCGTCTAGCTAAAGTGTAGCACACAAAAGGTAAAAAGAAAGAAGCTCACCTAGCAGACTCTAATTCCCTAAACATAGAAGCAGGCATCCCTCGAGAGCCTGAGGTTCCCACTCACAAAAGCATCACCAGGGAGGTGAAAGGCCGTGTGAGTTAGTGTCAGTAACACCATACAATTTACACCTCCTCTGGGCTTCTTAAAATATCAATAGGGATAACTTGAGAAAGACCAGGTTGCTAGAATCTAGTTTTAAGGTTGCTGGTGGGTAAGTTTTAAGGAACTGTCCCTACAGGCCAGTGAGGTACATAACCAAAGCCTTAGGTAACATGAAGGTTTGCTTTGGTTTTTGTTCTTATCTGATAAATTTGGCATTACAGTTTTGGTCTGTGCTTGATGAATGATCTTGTTCGGTTGGGTTTTTAACGTCTTGAAACTTTGGTGATAAGAGCACATTCTGTGTGAAGTTGTTTTACATCAGCTGTTTGATTTTCTTTGGAGCACAAATCTTTAAAAGCAGGCTGATTTGCTGTTCAAATGTCTGTCAGCCCAGCATAAGACAGGAAATACAACATGCAATTAATATTTTATTGACAAGTGGTCGCAGTTACACAAAGGGTAATACTTTTATATTTTTATTCCTAAGTAGACTGTAACAGTTCAAAACCTCAGTTGTACAAATCTGGGATCTCTCTAAATAATCCTCACCACCCACAAGTAGCAGCACTTGCATCTGCAAGCCCACCCTATCTGTCTCTTGCTAGTGTGGATCCCCACAAAACAGTCATGGTCAAGCTTTATCAGTGTTCTCCATAGCTTTGTGACAGGCCACTTGAAAAGAACCCAAGACTCTGGGAAATTGGTCTTTATCAACAGCTCTTCCATTCTGGCACAGGGGGGCTTTTGCCACCAGCCTTCTGTGGAAAAAGAGTGGTGCAGTTATGGCCCCTCCACACCTGACACTCCCCATCTTAAATTCTGGGAGTCTGCCTGCACCACACTACTAACAGACAGCGGCAAGGACAAGCTCACTTCCAGCTTGCTAAGCACACCTCTCCCTTTAACACATCAGCTGTGCTGCTGACTGAAAAGCTCATAGAATGAGAAGGTGAGCAAAAGGGACCAGAGCATGCGGAACCATGTGTGGCAGCCATGAGACATAGCTGGGCAAGGTACAGTGAAGTGTACAGATGGGAGGAAACACCAAGGATGACCAGCTTCTACCTCCTGTCACTCAGGACAAGCTTGCTTCCACCAGTCCCTCTGGTAGACTAGTTTTCTGCTCCCCTTGCCCAATCCATCTCACAGAAGAGAACAGCTTGCAGGGTGCAATATGAAAGAAAGCAAAACACCAAATGCTTTTGTTTTGGAGCAAAGCCCCCCCTCCAGCTGATGGCTGTTAACCCTCCCATATCAACTTCCCTGCAGCTTCTCAGAGTCAGTGTTTGGAGCAAAGCTCTGCTTCATACCCTAATTTCACCACAGCAGCAGGACTCGGCAGGTAGATATGGAGCAATTGTGTCTTGGTTCCCAGGCAGCTGAAGCACAGCCATGCCTCTTCCTCAGGATACGGGTTAAGGCCTGCCTGAAGAACACTGCCAAGACCTCTCTGCTGTTCCCAAAGCATATCACAGCCTCCAGTTTCTAATGAACTGGACTAACAGACCCATTTTCAGATATAAGGCAGAAAAAGCCTCCTTATGCCACCTGATGCCTTCTCACCTAAGCACTCTCTCCATCTCACACATATTCACATCCATCTCAGCAGTCTTTAACAGGACAGTCCTGATGTTGTTCCACCCCATCAGCCCTTCCAAGGGCCCTATCCTCACCATTTCCTGGTAGATCTGCTTCTGGCCACCTTCAACAAACCTGCTACCATTTGTTCTACAGCCCTAGAATTCTCCTTCCTCCTTCAAAAGCCTTTCTTCCTGTCCCTCCTCCACCACCCTGTCCCCACTACTGGGGATTCCTCTCAACACTTTCCTCAGGTGTCTGCACACTCTCTCTAGTCCCCATCCGGGCATTTTCCATCCCACCATATCCCAGCCCTGCACACCCACCAAATTTCCTGCTAGTCCAGCGCAGCTCACCACTCTTGGCCTCAATGATGAGATTGATGGCTGCGCTCTTGGTGAAGTACTTCTGCACCATCTCCAGGTCCCCAGTGAAGAGCGCATTCTGAACCAGCAGATCCCGGCACTCCAGTGGCTCTAAGCGGCTGTTCTGGCATCCCTGGCTGACTGGGCTCAGGCTGTGCTCACCGTGGTGGTACCAGGACCTTATATGCTGAGAGTACTTCTGCTGATCCAGCTGCAACAAGCGTTGTGTGGCAGAGCTGAAAGGAAAGGTGCAGTCCATCACAGGGAACAAACAGGATAAGCCTGAACCTTACAGTAAATAAGCTGCAGCTGGCAAGAGCCTCTTATCCAAGGCTATGTCCTTTGCAGGTTGCTCCTGGGTTCCAGCTCCCCAGTGTCTGGCTGGATTCAGGCACAGGCCTGACTCACCCAGTATAAATAGTCCTGCTTGGCAGCTCCCCTTCACCACCTCCCCTCCTTCCAAGAGTTTATTTTCAGCTGCTGGATGCAATCACCAGCACACATTAGGCATAGGAGAGGGGTAGCAGAGCCTTGAAACACTCTATGTGCTTGCTTGCTCTGCGCTCTGCTCCCACTTGGAAAGAAACAGAGCAAGGTAGGGGCAACCACAGTGAGGGGTAGCTAGGGAAAGGCCTGCAGAAGTCATAAGGGACTGAGTACAGAGGCCTTCCCCACAGGGACCAAAAAAACCCTCAAAAGCTCCACACACTGTTCTTGGGAACCCAACTTCTTCACTAGGGCAACGAGTCTGGCTGCCTAGACACAACTGAGCAGAATAAAGCAAGGCACATAAGCAAGCCCTGGGAAAAGCAGCTCATATGACATGAACCAAGTTTCCTGGCAATAAGGAAGACACTCTCCCATGCAAATCTCAAGAGTTGGCAAGTGTCTTCAGGCTTCTGAGGGGGTGGGTCACATTTGGAGGGGTGAAAGATGCTGAAGCTCCCTACCCTGTCCTGGTTATCACAGCTCACTCTGCAGGACATAAGAGTGGATCCCATTAGCTAGGGTGTTGTGGGAACTTGACATAGGTCTGGGACCTGTTAAACTTTGTTTACTCTCAAATTACTCTCCTGTAACTAACCTGTTAATTCCTGTGCCCCTGCCAATATGAGAACCCTTCCAGCTGGGCAGGCTTCGAGTGCCAGCAACGGGGACTCATCTCCTGCTGCAGGAGTTTCAGCTGGTATTCTCTACCCAGTCCTATAACTGAGAGTGGCTGGGGTGACTCAGACTTGCAAGAGTGCCTGAGGGCTAACAGGTGTGGCCATGAACCCAGACCACATACCTCTACCTGACCCACTGACTTTCTCCTGGACCATGCTGTCCCACTGGACAACATAGCTTTATTAGAAACCATCACATTAGCCCATCTGACTTCTGGGCCACACCATCTATCCAGCAAAACAGGCAAGTTATGGCACTGGTTAATATTAAACTTACTTGGGGGCAGGCAAAAGAGTGAAGACAGTTGTTTGGATGGTTGTTTGGTTGCTTTTTTTTAAAAAAAAATCTGAGCCCATTTGATTTTTACCCTGTCAACTTGGTTCCAAACTGTGATGGAGTTCTTTCTGGTGTGGCTGCAGACATGGATCGGAGAGGGTGCTAGGCTTTGTTTGTGTTCCTTTTGGTGGCTGTTTCCAGTACAGAGAAAAGGACTATGTAAGAAAGCCTAAAAGGGTCCCTGAACCAGTTCCAGGCCTGCTGGCTGCTTTCAAGAACTGCCAGGCACGTTCCCCGTTGCCACTACAGATATTTCTATGCCCATGAGCAGTTTGCAGCATCTCACCAGTGTGGCACTGGGGTCAACCTGCCAACCAGACCACAGAACTCCATTCACAAATATATCTGTACACACATTGCCTGGTGAATTTGTTTTTCTTCTGCACACATACCCCTCCCAAACCCTCTTCCTGCTCAATGGTTCATCCCCCTTATGCACAAAGACAGTGGCCAAAACAGACAAAAGCTGTCCTGTCCCAAGACAGCATGTACAGAGTTTGTCAGAACTATTTTTTTCCCCTTCTTTGTCTTTCCCTTGTGTTTCTGTCATCTCTGCTGCCCCTTGAACTGCCTGGAGTCATCTTTTACCCAGGGCTCTCTTCATTTATCAGTCCTGCAGAGAGGGCAAGTATGCAGGGGGTAAAAGAGGCTGCAAAGGAGGGTCACAGCACAGAAGATAGAAATGGGTTTGGGTAGCCCAAAGCACAAAGGAAATGGGACAAATCAGGCTGAAACCAACTGGAGAAGAACAGTCAAGCACGAGATGGCAAAGGGGACAGGCTGAATTACCTGCAGACTCCACCAAGCTCCCCTCCCTGCACATGGGACCCACCTTGCTCAGCAGCTGCTGAAGTTCACATAGTCTCACTATGCTCTTCTGGGCCAGCTGCAGGATCATAGAGTCATTTAGGTTGGCAGAGACCTTGAAGATCATCCAGTCCAACCATTAACATCACACTGACCATTCTCAACTACATTCCTAAGCACTATGTCACTAGGATGTGACACTATCAGCACCAATGCCCACAGCTTGCAGCATGTGGCCTTGGCTGTAGCCATCTAACACCTTGACCAGGGCACCGATGCTCAAGCTGCTGGTAAGAACATCCCACTTCGTTTTGGATTAGGTACTACCAGGTCTCTGAACAAAGCAGAGCGCCCTTGAGAAGGCACTGTGGCAGGAAAGGGTGGAGAGAGTATGACAAATAGCCAGTCTCCTCTGGCCACATGAAGAGCTCAGCACAACAGCTCCAACTTGGAGTACAGAGAAGGCTGGATGCTGTTAGAGGTGAGGAAAAAGGAGAAATTAAGAATTGCTCTGTTTCTCTCCAGCCTGTCTTTCTACCTCTTGCTGCTCCTGCCAGTCAAACCAATGCCACCATACTTCCCCCAGCCATGGTCTTGGGCACAGTATCCAAAACTAGTCCTTCACACACCCTACAATTATTGAGGAAAGGCAGCTAGGAGGAGCACCCTGAACTGCTGGGCTGAGGTCAGGTCCATAGCCATCACACCCAAAATGCTGACAGAGGGCAGGCAGTACTTTTGCACTCAGGCAGTTTCATAGACCTTGGGCTGTGTGTGTGCATTTCTGCCTTTGCACCAGCTACCCTGGAGATTTCCTCCCATTCTCATGACAAACAGCAAACAAAACCACAAACCAAAAAACCAAAACCAACCAAATAATGAAAAAAACTACAAAAAACCCCAGAAAACACAACCAGACTGACACACATGCACACACCCATCCTCCCAGCAGAGTTTTCCTTCATATTTGACAGGACTCTGGCATCTGCCCTGGCCCCACAGCAAAAAGGTCCTTTGCTTGCTCTGCCTGACAGGTCACAGGAGGGAAGTCAGGACCATCTGTCCCCTCAGCACCATCATCTGGCAGGAATTGTCCAGCTACTGGCACAAGGCTTTAACCTTCAAATCCAGTTTACTGAGCCCACTCACTGCAAAATCCACAATGAGCTGTATAGTCTGGGTGAGGGGAAAAAAACCAGGCACCTCCTCACTGGTTTTGCATAATACATTCACATCAGGGGCACAGGGCCTATCTGATGCACAGATCAGCAGCATCCAATCCTCTGGTTTCACTGATTTCAGGACCTTTAGGAAGTCCTTCCTCAGAAGCTTTGGATCTGTCTGTGAGAAAGAAGAGGATCCTCAAAAGCCAGAGTGAAGGGGATCACATGCAGTCCCATGACCCAAAGCTGACCAGAGGGAAGAGGATGCACATCCTTGGGGGGGTGGGGAAAAAAAAAAAAAAAGTAAAAAGTGTTGCAATTTTTTTTCAATGACCTGTCTGCTTCTAAACATTGGTGCTCTCATTTGCAAGAGATGTGTTTTCTCTTACTAAATCATCTATTTGATTTATGATTACACCTGCCTTGTGTCAGGGGCCAAGATGAATGGAGTGAAACTGGAAAGGTTACAGCGTATTTCTTTTATGATACAACAGACCATGAGACACACGTTGGAATGTCTCAGAGATGTTAAAGTTGAGAGAATCAAGTCCTGTCTGCAGGTTTGCATGGGGTCAGAGGCTGAAATGTCATTGATTTTGGGAAGGCACTCCCTAGAGTGTGCACAAGCGACCACCCCAAACCACCCATCGCCACTAGAAGTGAGGACCACCCACTCTTGGTACATGTCCAGACATCACACCTACCTCACAAGAAGCAGTAATTAAGGACAAAGTATGGAGAACAAGGTTGAGTAGATAACTTCATCTATGTCCCCCTGAGAGAGAGAGAGAGATGTTAAACCTGAGGTACCCAGCCCCGCAGCAGCTACCCAAATTAGTATAAAGAGACAGGTGGAAATCTGTCCATGTTGTGGGACAGAGCAGGGATGTTAAAATTGGAATCTCTAGCCCAACAGTAATGCAGGAGTGTCCATTTACACATGCTCATGTGCATGACAAAGCATGTCTGCCCCCAAAAGACAGTTTTAGGGAGAGCACCTTGTTACTGGCAAAGTCATCTATGCAAGCTACAAACCTAAACATGTAACATCAGGTCAGAGACTACTCAGAAAACCATAACTTTATGCAGATACTAGGTGGTCATATACACTAACATGGGGTATTAAATGCTGCCACCTTCAAAAGGTCCTGATGACACATAGTAAGCTACTGGAGCCCATACTGTGCACTTTGTTTTCAAGTCTTGAACTATTAGTTCTTCATTTTCTACCTCAAGCATTAATAAACCCTGGTTTTGTTCTACTGTTAAACCTGCCGGGTATACAGAAGCTGCTGTGCTGGATTGAAGCCAAAAGCGAAAGTATAAACCTCTGTGGTACAGTAGATGAAAGGAAAAAGGGATCCAAAAGAACTTGTAAGAAGGGTGACCAGCAGCTAGGTCCTGCTAGTCTGCAAAAGCTTAATGCAGTAACTGTGGTAGACAGCTGCTGCTGGTTTGGGAAACTCTTTACTCCTGTAAGCAGAGGGAGACCTCACAGAGCTTCAGACCAGGCTCCAAGGAAAGAACAACATGCCAAATCCTCAGACAACATTACTGAGCTGAAGCCCTCATTCACAAGTAAGGCCACAAGATGCAGGGACTGGGTTAAGACCCTCTCATGGGTAGAGGAGGTTGTTCTTCAAATGCTTCTCAGGACTGCTTTGCACAGCAGCACACGGGTTGTAGCAGTAGCCACTTTCAGTGATACCTTCTTTGCTTCTCAGGAGGAACTTGCTATGACAAAAAGCCATTTAAAAGAGCTTTCCAGTCTCACTTCTGACACAAG